AGCAGGAAGAAATAGAAAGGAACAAGAGCAGGAGAAGTCTGAGTCCTGCCCCCTGTTTGCGGTGGTGCTCCTTGCCTGCTTTCCTTTGGCTCCAGCCATCTGCCTCTTCCCTCCCTGCTTGGCTGCTCAGAAACAAAGGGCAGTTCACAGGATCCAGGAATGCTCCTCAGCTCCAGTTCCAGGAAATGGCCAGATTCAGGAGCAGGTGGAAATTGAGGACCTTAGAATCATAGACTCAGAATGTCCCAAACTAGAAGGGACCCACAGAGATCATCCAATCCAACCCCTGCACTGCAGACACCCCAACCACCCACCCAGGCCAAACACTCCTGGAGCTCTGTCAGCCTTGGGGCTGTGACCACTGCCCTGGGGAGCTGTTCAGTGCCCAAACACCTCTGGGGGAACAACCTCTGCCTGATATCCAACCTAACCCTCCCTTGACACAGCTCCAGCCATTCCCTGGCTCCTGTCCCTGTCCCAGAGAGCAGTGGGCAGAGCTGCCCCTGCACTGCCCCTCGGGAGGAGCCACAGCCCCTGCTGAGCAATGCCCTCAGGCTCCTCTGCTCCGGGCTGAACCTAGAGTCATTATCACCCAGTGAAGACCCTCACACCAACCACATCACAAACTCTTCAACCACCCATTACAACAAATCCTTATCACTGTCCCTCTGCAGACCTGGCAGCAAATCACATGTCGATATACAAGTGTGAAAACTAAGACACTGACCTAGAATTACAGAATCCCAGAATGGTTTGGGTTGGAAGAACCTTAAACACTATCTGGTTCCTCCCCCTGCCATGGGCAGGGACACCTCCCACCAGACCATGTTGCTCAAGGTCTGTCCAACCTGGCCTGGAACACTCCCAGGGATGGAACAGCCACAGCTGCTCTGGGCAACCTGTGCCAGTGCCTCAGCACCTCACAGGGAGCAATTCCTTCCCAAGATCCCATTAATCCTGCCCTCTGGCAGTGAAAAGCCATTCCCCCTTATCCTGTCACTACCTGCTCTTTTAAATAGTCTTTCTCCATCTTTCTTGTACGCCCCTTCAGGTACTTCAGCACTAAGACTCCGCCATAGCCTCAGACACAGGAGAAATAGTTTTAATCACAGAAATATCTCAGATATTGCTGTCCCAGCAGCTCTCAGCAGCCTGAGCAGCTGGGCAGGAGGTACCTGGGGCCCATCCCTGGTGCTGCAGGACTGCAGCTGCCGTGCTGCCAGCCTCAGCCTCCCCAGCAGCGCCGAGCGCTCCACCAGCAGATAGGCCACCTGCTCACTGGCAGCACTGTGGGCAATCTGGGATAAGCCTTCCTGCTCCAGCAGCTCCTCCACCTCCTTCAGCTGGGCTTCTGTAAGACAAGGCTTGGTGTGAGCATAGCAACAAACACAGCATCACTTCTGCAGGTCGGCATCCCAGTTCCACTCAACACTCCCAGTGCAACAGTCCCATTGTTCTTGGAGCCCATCAGCTCCTCAAGTCTCTCCTCCTGCTTCCCACCTCCCTCCCTGCCTCCCATCCCTGTTCATACCTATTAGCACATAGTATCCTCCCTCCCTGCCTCCCATCCCTGTTCCTACCTATTAGCACATAGTATGTTAACAGTATGTTAAGGGGTTGGAATGAAGCTTAGAGCTCATCCAGCCCCAACCCCCTGCCCTGGGCAGGGACACCTCCCACCAGAGCAGGTTGCTCAAGGCTTTAGCCAACCGGGCTGTGAACACTGCCAGGGTTGGGGCAGCCACAGCCTCCCTGGGCAACCTGGGACAGTGTCTCACCACCCTCACAGGGAAAACTTCTTCCTGATAGCTAATCTAAATTTCCCGCTTTCAATTTCTCCCCATTACTCCTGTCCTGTTCCTGCAGTTCTTAACACAGATCCCTCTGCAGCTTCCCTGGAGCCCCTTCAGCTCCTGGCAGGTTGCTCTGAGGTCTCCACAAAACCTTCTCTTCTCGAGGCTGAGCAGCCCCAACTCTCTCAGCCTGTACTTGTAATGATTCTGATCTGTCCCAAGTTTTATGCTCACATCCCCTTCCCTGTCTGCCAAGCAGCACAGGACCTGCTACACCCAGTTGGAGTTCTCCAGCCTGGTTTTCTGCGGAGGAGTTACTATAACCATTTGCTTCTCCCCAGCCTGGTCTGTCCTCAGCCCTTTCAACCCTGAATACAGCTTGGTGGAAACTCAACAACAGACTAAACAGATATTGAGGAATCATAGAATCAATAAGGTTGGAAAAGACCTCCAGATCATCAATCCCAACCTTCAGATCTCCAAGTCCAATCTTGGAGAGAAACCAGTGTTTCCTTTGGCAGAAGAGACACAGATACCAGGTCACTCCTAGAGAGCATCACTGTTTGCCCAAGGACTGTCTGGGAGGGAGGAAGATCTAAATGTCTTTAAGAATTCAACTGCCAATCCTTCACCATTTGTCCCAAAATTATAGCCAGGAAGACTCTGTACTGGGAAAAACTTACAGATTTCATGCCACCAAGGCAGGCAGGTGACACCACCACTCTCAGAAGTTGGTTTCTGGCTGGGCATCTTGTGTTTGTGCAACAAAGAGGTCACAAAAAGATCCCTTTGTTTGTGTGGTTGGAATTCATCTGCCAGAAGAAAGTGAGGAACCTTTGGTCTCCAGCATGGTCAGGGCAAGTCCTGCACTGGATGCAGCAGCTTGTGGAGCCAGGGAAGGATTTTGCAAACCCTCCCTGCAGAATTCATAGTGAAAAGAAAAGCGACAAACCACATTTCTATCTCAAACCTGACTATACTCAGATTAGACGTTAGGAGAAATATGTTTTGTTAGGGTGTTCAGGCACTGGGATAGGGAATAGGGAATTAGTGGAGTCACCATCTCTGGAGGTGTTGAAGAGGTGTCTGCATCTGGTGGTGGAAGATCTGGTTTAGGGGTTACAGCACCTTGATGGTTCTAAGATTCCACAAAGGTCTCTGAGTGCTGCAGGATGGGAAGTGGGGGGAGCTGCATGGAGGAAGGAGGGATATTCCCACTCTTTTGTGCTCAGGGAGCTAGAGTTGGCCACCAGAGGCTCAGCTGGCCCAGCACTCCCTGGACTCCTGCACCGCACACACAGAGCTCTGCACAAGCCTTTTCCTCCCCTCCATGCACTGGTTTATCACAGATCCAGGCACAACCACATCCCGAGGCTCCAATCAATCCCATGTTTCCACTCCGCGGCTCCAGCGGCTCTGTGCCCCCTGTGGATGGAAAACACCCTGCGGATTGCAGGCTGCCTGCCCCGGGCACAGCTGCCAGGCTGCTCGGGGAGGGTCACACACAGCTCTGTGCGGGACAGAACGGCTGCACTGGCTCCATGTGCACTGGGAAGAGCCCATGGATCACACCACACTGAACCCCAACCTGCCTTGCAGTTTCCTCCCCCAGTTTTGACAAATCCCAGCTGAAACGGTGGTTTGTGGCACAGAACCCGCCGAGCTCTGCCCACCAAGGATGGTCCTGTTCTCTCAGCTGCTCCTGCCAGCACCTCCCTGGCCCCAGGCTGCAAATCAGAATCAAGTGGGAGAGCTATCCCAGACATTTCCACAGGATGAGGAGGAAAAGGACCCATGAGGATGAGGGGATGTGCCACACACAGCACAGTTCACCTGCTTGAAAAGGCTCCAGATTCCTCCCAAAGCCCTTCCCTACTCCATCCCACCACCCTGAGCAGAGCCAACACCTCGTGCAGGCACTGCTACCCCAGAGCACTGCTGTGCTCCCCCGGGAGCTCCTGCCCCACCTCTGCCCTTGCTGCTGGCAACCAATTCTATATCCATATCTGTATTTTCCTGCCCCAGGAAGCCTCCCAGCAGGAGCAGCTCACTGGTGTGCTCACCCCACATAGCCCCTGCATGCTCCCAGCCATGCTGGGAGTGTTTCCCAGTGCAGCTGGTGCCACAAACCAGCTCAGACCACAACCATTGATCCTCTTGGTTCCCCGTTCCAAACACACCGAGGCAGCTCCCCTGCCAGCTGTGGCTCCCTGCCAGCCCAGTTGTTTTTCAGGAAGCCTTTGGGCACTGCAGCACATGCAGTATCGATGTGCCCTCCCACGACACCTCAGTGTTCAACAAGAGCCATCGGAAACGGATCAGGAACTGCCTGGAGGGAAGGAAAAATGTCACTGTGGGCAGAGGCACCACATGAGGTGAAACTCAGCTCGATGGCGCAGAATAAACCAGTGGCTGCTCCCTGCAGGAGCCTGGAATGGGCATGGAGTGAATGTGTGACCAGGGATTCAGCACCAGAGACTCCTCAGTGTCAGTCACCAGCAATGTCAATCATCAGAGCCTGAAGGGGCTCCAGGAGAGCTGCAGAGGGACCAGGGACAAGGGATGGAGGGACAGGACAAGGGCAATGGTTCCCACTGCCAAAGGGCAGGGATAGATGGAGTACTGGGAAGGAATCCTTCGCTGTGAGGTGCTGAGACAAGCAAACACCCAGACCCTCAAGAAAACGTTCCCAAGCACCCCAGAACCCCCCAGGGCTGCCCCCACTCCCTGCAGGGCACAGCTCTGGGGCAGCAGAGCTTCCTCCACTGCCCACATCCCCCAGTTCCCCACACACATCCCAGGGCTGCAGCTGATGGCAGCAGTAAGGCAATCACAACCCTTAAACCCACAAATCTGATAGTGATATCCCCAAAACATCCCTCCAGAAACACCCTATGGCATCGAAGTCACAAAACCCCCTCGGGGATGGATGATGGGAAGCACTGGATGGCAAACAGCAGCTCCTCATGGACACGGATCCCCAGGGATCCATGGACACAGATCTCTGTTGCCATCGCAGCGTTAATCATTGCCCAACGGCCACAAGAATCCCTGAAACATGGAAAAAGTCCAAAGAGCAGCGGCAGCGGGAGGAAGCCACTGCATTCCAGCTTTGGGGACGTTGTGTCCTGCTTCTGCCACCTCGTGGGAAGTGAGGGAGGAACCGGGAAGAGTTTCCTGCCACAGCAATGCTCCCAGAGCTCCCCAGTCATTTCACCCCTGTAACCAGCACTTCCACCACCAATCCATGGCTCTGGGGGCCCAGAGGAACCAGAGCTTTAGGCAAAGTCCCTCCATCAGATGTGCTCCCTGAAAACCCAACAGATGCTCGAACCCACAATCAATTTTTCCCAAATTCCTGTGTTTCCTGCCCCAAATAAACTCTGGATCACAAAGAAACTCTTCAAGCTGTGCCATCACCCTCAGTTTTACCTTAGGCTCAGGATAATATGTCCCACAAAAGGAATTCGTGGCAACATTGAGCACTCAAAGTGCAACAGAAGGATGAAAACCCAAGAATTAAACCCAGCAAAATTTTTTTGCCCTTACTGAAATACACTTCAGAGCTTGAAAATAAATCATTTGAAGTTAAATGAATGAAATAATTTGTTGAAACAAAATTTCTCTGTGAAAATCCTGGAGCTCTGAGCAACCTGTGCTAGTGGAAGGTGTCCCTGCCCATGGATGAGCTTTTAAGGTCCCTTCCTAACCCAAAGCATCCTGAGATTCTGTGACAATGAGCCACATGAGGTTTGAATCACCAGCACAGCCAACCACTGTCCCCCACAGTGGGGTTAAAAACATGGATTGGTGTAAAGCAAAGCCAACAGCAAATTCACTGACTTGGTGGGAGTGAGGAGTCACTGCTGGGTAATCTGAAGGTAGAAACCAAACAGCACCATCAGTTCTGGTCTGCAAACAGCCTCTGGAAGGTGCTTCATGCAGCAACACAGGGGGAAACTGCCAAATTCCCTGGATAAAGGCAGCAGAGATAGGCAGGAATCTCTGAAGCAATTATGAATCAGTTCCAAGGTCTCAGTAACACTATCAACCCCCTGAGCAAACCACTGAGAGCTCCCTGAGAGCTCCCTGAGACCTCCCTGAGGACACCCTGGGAGCTCCCTGAGAGCAACCTGAGAGCAACCTGAGGACTCCCTGAGAGCATCCTGAGGATACATTGAGAACAACCTGAGAGCTCCCTGAGGACACCCTGACAGCTCCTTGGGACTTCCCTGAGGACACCCTGAGAGCATCCTGAGAGCATCCTGAGGACTCCCTGAGAGCATCCTGAGGATACCTTGAGAACAACCTGAGAGCTCCCTGAGGACACCCTGGGAGCTCCCTGAGAGCAACCTGAGGACTCCCAGAGACCTCCCTGGGACCTCCCTGAGAGCAACCTGAGAGCAACCTGAGGACTCCCTGACAGCTCCTTGGGACTTCCCTAAGGACACCCTGAGAGCAACCTGAGAGGTCCCTGAGGACTCCCTGAGAACCCCCTGTGAGTTTTCTTCCTTTTGAAGGCAAATAACGTACAGAAGTGCAGAACCTTAGCCACGCTGACCTGCAGGTGCTTCTGCATCTGGCAGGTTCCAGAGGTGGCACCATGAGCTTGTTTCCAAAAGGCCATTGCAGAGCTCGAGCAGTGAGCTCTCAGCCTTGATGGAACACTAAGTCCTGACATGCTGGCTGTTACCTTCACCCCTGGGAGCTCCCTGAGAGCTTGGAGGAGGCTCAGGGGAGATGTTATCGCACTCTACAACTCCCTGACAGGAGGGTGGAGTCAGGTGGGGGTTGGTCTCTTCTCCCAGGCAACA